AGGGGAGGGAGAGTGATCGAGTGAGGGAGATAAACTGTTTAATATCTGAAACCTGAGCACATACCCTCTTCACACGTGTGCCGATGAAGCAGCGTCGTGCAGTATTTATTATGCGCTTGTGATTATGTGCTTTGCCTAACACCTATTGTCATAAAGATGCGCGATTATTATGGGAGCAGGATTTTTTCACAGCAGGGGAAAGAAAGGGGCTGAGTCGACAACAGGTCGGGCCTCCCTTTGTGTCTTCATTTGATCGCTCAGCAAAATTCATATTCATGCTCCCAATGTGCACACAGTGGCACGCTTTATTTCGGTTGCATGTATTAACAAAAAGCCTCACAAAGTCACATTTTGTACTTCTGTAACGCAAACACAAGGCAAAAGGTAACGGAGGAGCTAGGTTCTTCACAGCAGAGGTAGAGACAGCCTCCAGGAGCTGGCGTCTTGTTATTTCTGTAGTATCCCTGGGAAAAAGGTTAAGATCTCACAGCGGGCTGATTATTAGGCTAAACCAGGGTGCACTGTGTTCTGTGTGGGCTGAAAAGACCAGTTCTGACCATTAGCATGCCTCCTGTGCCCCAGGTCGAGACTACAGAAGCAGCTTGAGCATTTTTTCTCTACTTTATGGGTGTAATGATGTCACACAACACCTAACTGCATACTTAATCCAGCCTTTGTGAGGTCATGTTTTGATTTGCCTGTTTATCTGAAAGACATCTCATTTCCAATGGACGTACGCACAACGCAGTGAAGTGCCTTCTCTCCCCTGCTTGAATCCTCTGCTGTTGCTCACATCCGACACTAGATGGCTGTCTGAGCTGCGTGTGCTTCTCAAAGAGAGAGCCTCTTTCTGGTGCTGCTGCAGGCCTCAGAAATGCACATCCTTTTTTGTTAATAATGCTTCAAGACACCTGGGTTATGAATACACAGACATGTCACCCAGCTTCATGTTTTGATGTTTGAATTTGCCAGCCCTTCGTTTGTTTCATGAGGTCTCGAACAATGGATTTAAATACGCTGTCATCAGAGGAAGTTAGCCACAGATGCACACACACGGAGGTGAAAGGGCATCTGAATTTGTTTAAAAATAAACTCTATGCTATGCCATTTTCAATCTATGCCCCACACGTTTAGATGTGTTCTTTTTTTTATTGCTTCAGGTAAACTGACAGGACTGAAAACAAATTTTGATGTGAAAGGCGCCGTTGAACACATTATTTATCATGATCGTTTTAAATTGTGTAATTATTTAAAGTCATCTGCCATTTGTGGCTCGTCTGTATGGGATTTTGTAGAAAGCCTTTTGTAGTTTCATTACGTGTGGTAAGTGCAGCCACACAGAGCACTTGCTTGGATTGAGTTTAAAGACTGTCTTTTTTCGTCCTGGTTCGGAGGCCTTCCATCTCTCTGGCCTGGAGCTTCCAAACCGCACAGCCGGCCAGTTCGCGGTGGCCCTTTTATTATGATGTCAGCACTTTGCTTAAAAGAGCATTCAATATCTCCAGGATGACCATCACAGGAACATCAGTGGGATAGCACACAGGCAAGAACCAGATGGCCATTCCTCATTGCCGGTCGTTTACTTTTTTTTTTTTCCTTTCCGCTCATTGATTTATTGGAAGCTGACAGAGTAATTGAATTTAGTAGCAGTGATTATCACAGCTGAACAGGTTGCCTTGTTTTTTTTCCAGCATCTGTTTGCAGTGGTTCACTTTGTAAAGGAGTTTTGTGGCTATAAGATATTAGCTGTTAGATAGACAGATAGATTCTATAACTTAAAATCAGAAGGTCAATCATTATTCTCATCATCCTACAGTTTAAAAAACTGAAAAAACTAAAAGGCTGATATGATCATGAGTGGTATAATTTAAAATGTCAAAGTTACGAACTGTCATAAGACTAATGTTTTGAGAGAATAAAAGTTTCTGTTTGCATCTAGCTTTAGTTTAGAGACATGGCTGATGCTAACGTTAAACTTGCTGTAAAATGCTTATTAGCCCTCAAGTATCATAGATGTGGTTTTAAAAGAAAAGGTCAGCTTTAATAGAATAGTTTTTAAAAGTTTATTACCATTTCTGTAATATTTCAAGCCCTGATTCTACTAGTGTGCTATAAATAAATAAAGTTAGAAAACCAGTGGGATTCTGTAGTTGTGTTGCTAACTACAAGCTCATAACCATGTATGTTCCCTTATATTATTACATTCAAATAGAGAACATACTCTGAAATGTGTATTTTATGTCTCTTTGTGTTCATCTTGTCCAAGAAGATACAAATGATCAAACGCGCTAATAAATAATGGAATTCCAACTTAATAGGGTGCTGCTGCTGTTTCAAACAACAAAGGACATCTGAATTCTCGGTGCAGTATATTTCTATTAGGTGCTCATCTACATAGACAAAAACAGGTGAAAAGAAATTGAAGATGAAAACCAGACAAGAACCTTATTTTTCCTCTGCATATTTCTATTGTAACTGTGCAACTTGCTACTGCAATGATATATTTTGTTTTATTGCAGAGGGACAAAAACTGGCTCTACATTGATGCATGCACACATAAGTTTTAATTTGCGAAGTTCATTGTATATTTTCTGATTTCTCTTTAGATCCCCAAAATAAAAACAAACAAAAAAAAATCTGCAAAGACAGAAACCAAACAAATCCTGTAAATTCAACTTAATAAGGAAGCAATTGAGTGAAGGAGATCTTAACAAGTCATAATCTAAAGATTTCACAGTGGACAGATATAACTGTGTACCAGAGGTCTTGCATGCAGGCTCTTCACAAGAGCTGGAGGCCAAAAACATCTGATGCATTCAACTGGTGTTGGTTTGTTTTCTGACACACAAACCCAGGATTGTACTAAATTTTTTTTTTGGCTCTAGTGGCCTTTATTTGATAGTTAATTGACAGGAAAGTAGGTAATGAGAGAAGGGGGAAGACATGCAGCAAAGGTTGCCAAGGCTGGGAATTGAACCTGCGACAGCTGCGTCAAGGACTAAGGCCTCCATATGTGGGTGGTGCTTAACCCCTGCGCCACCACAGCATTTGACTAAATTTGCGAGACACGAAAAAGAATCAGTTCTGAGAACACATCCCTCACCAACCTCCATCTATTTGCAGTATCTCTGGCTCCATAATTCATGCAAAATGAAATGAAAACCTTCTTAGCAATATGTAGATTTCCTTATGCAAAACAGCATCACCTATGGTGCACCGACCGCAGCTAATGCCTTTGATCAGCCTCTCTGACATTCTCTAACTACTGAGAAGAAAAGAACTTAAAAATTGTAAAGGCTCTTAATTGAAGTGAACATAAAAGAAGATACATGGTGTTAATTGGTATACGCTAAGAATAATCTAGACCTTGGAGACCACTGTCCCTTACCGCTCCCCACCCCTCACCACAACTCTGCCAAAGTGTCAGGATTTACATCTTTAATTCAAGATTTCCCCACATTAATTACCTCGCAGGCAGAGAAGTGCGAATCACTTCATTTTAAAGTATAATAAACATCCAAATAGCCCCCTCCCTGCTCGTCCATGAATATAAATTTTGATTAGAGTGCAAAAACACTCTTCTACTTCTTTAAGGGGAGATGAATGTGGGCTGGGAAGATTTTTATTTTGTTAGTTATAGCCTAACTTGAGTCTTTAACCAAAAAATTTTTTACAAATGTGAGAGCAAAGAGAGAGAGAATGATACAAGTAGGCAGGAAAATATATTGTGTTTTTAAATTTTGCAGCAAATTTTAATATCGTGTGCAGGCAAGTGAAGAAATTTTCCAATATGACCTTTGATTATGAGAAGAATACAGCGGCCTCTCTTTTCCTGCTCAACATGCTGAATGGGACAAACTGAGTGGCAGGATGGAAGTGGGAGGATCCACAGTGACACATATACATACAGACTAGCGCAGGAACACACACACACACACACACACACACACACACACACACACACACACACACACACACAAATGCTGACAGACAAATGACCCTCTGATGGAAAGTGAAGCACTTTGAAGTCCTTAAATGCAGCACAAACACACCTCACACTGTAGTATTATAGTGCCTGCACTCATCTGCTTTTGTTTGCTTGAGTTAAATTTTTTTATCTTGTGAATAGGTTCATGAGAGGATGTTTTTTTGGGGGGATAAATAATAAACATCTGTTATGATTTATTGAAACTTTTTGAAAAGCATCCCAGAGTGGCTTGAAATTTATTGAGTTTATTAAGCCACAACAAGCAATTTATGTAAACACAGTTCAAACGAGTACAGCTCCTGTACACCTTACAGTCTTTGCTCTTTTTTTTTTTTTTTGAAGCGATTTATTTTGGGAATTTGTTTTAATTTATTGGCTCAAAGTGCACGGCGCTCTGTGTAAAAACTGAATTGATACAGAAACCTGCAGGGACACATTAATTAAAATAGCAATCTAATTAGCATTCCGCTGTGACCTAAAAGTTGAATATTATTAGAGCTGTAACCCTCAGCTGCGATAGGGGGAAAAAAAAGAAAGGAGAGAAAAAAAAAGCTTACATGACGGTGAAATTGAAATTCAAAGAGCTGCAGACAATGTACACACAGATCAAAAGAATAAACGGGGAGAAAATAACACACCAAGAAGTTTTACATTTCCTCATGAGGGGGAAAAGCAGCAGGCTGGTGCGATCCTGCACCCACATAAAACACCCACAGTCAGTTTTAAGTAGCAGGGTAGTTTAATCTGCAGCGTGGATGAAAATACTGACTGTGACTCAACACTGAAGCTATTCTGGAGACTAAATGTACTGTTTTTTCTGCCTATTGAAGTTTAAAGTAAGGGCTTAAACAATGTTTACAATTAGGGTAACTTGTGCTTAAAAAGCAAAGATTTAGAGGTTTACATGAGCCACTGAACTCTAACTAAACTTGTTTAAATAGAGTTATTATTCCGCCATGTTAGTGTCTTCTAACATGGCGGATGTCAACATGTTGACATTGTCTTCTTTCAGAGACAATGTCAACAGGAAGTCTATGTAGGTGAAACATCTGTCAGGACAGGATCTCTTCCAATTCTTTGGAGGAGTGGAATCAGGTGAGTCATCTTGCAGACGCCATCTTGTTTCTCTACGATAGTGGCGGCGGTGGTAGGTGGTTCAATCCCCACTTCGTCTGCCTCCGTCATCGTATCCAAGGGCAAGACACTTCACCTCCTGGTGGGGGTCAGAGGTGAATCTGTGCATGAATGGGTGAATGTCTGAATGTTGCATGAAGCACTTTGGTTTGTTTTTTGAAATTCTCCAGCTTCTCTTCAAGCTCTAAATGACACAACAGGGCAATGTTCCAAACAGCCTAAATAAAATAGATAAAAGAAGCAAACCTCATTGAATGTTGTCCAGACCTGACCTCAACTCTGTTGAATATGTATCAGTTATACCTACATGCACAGTCTGCACCAGGAAACCAACCAATAAGCATGACTATTTGTGATGAAAAGAGAGTTTAAAAAAAAAAAAAAACTATTCAGTGTCATAGCATGTTACATATAAGATGTGTCCACAAACACTTGAACAGGTGCTTATTTTTTGAAGAAAAAACCCTCAAAAGCATTTCTGCAAAAAGTAATTGACAATCTTGTCACTGTTCACCATTTACTCAAATGGTTCTACCTGCAAAGCTCTAAAAAAACGAGACCCTTTCTCATTGGGTGCAATTCAACACCCACCCCCTCTCAGTCATATTAAAGTATAGATGTCTTCAAACCTCTGATCTACAGGAAGCAGATCAGAGGTTTCCATTGCTCTGCCGGTTGACACCACACTTGAGGCTGACATGTTTCATCATCACCAACTGAGTTGCTACCCTAAGCGTCAGGAGAACCCATATCAACTACCATGACTTGCTCCTTAAGCCCTGCACAGGTCACGGCAATCAAAACAGTCTTCACAGGGGTCAGCGCACGCCACTCGGCTCAGCGTTACCTCTGCTTAACCTTGAGGGCTGTATATGTTTCCTCTGCATCCCTTCTGGGAGGCTTTCATACGTAGCCTTGCCTCGCGCTGTCCGAGCCGCCCGTTTTCCTCGTTGAGGGCCTCCAACGCTCCTCCTGCAGCTCTACAAGCGGCCGTGTCCCTGCAGTGGGCCGACATGCCAGCCGGCAAGCGATAATTATTCATTAGTATTCATTAGTGTGAGGTGCTGGCCGGCGCGGGGCTCATGTTGAATCAGTGTTCTGACGAGGCCTCGGCCCGGCGTGGGTCAGTGAGGAGCCAGTAATTAGGCCCACCAGTCAGGAGGCATTTTCCTGCGCACAACACGTGAGCTTTGAGAGAGACAGAGAGAGAGAGAAAGAGAGACGGCAAAACCACTGGGAGAGAAGCTGCAGGAGGAGAGAGATAAAGAAAGGAGGCTTGAAGGAGAGAGTCGATTTTCAGAAGAAAGCAAACCTTGGCCTCTTTGCTTTTGCAGCCGAGGTTGCGACCTTTCTCCGTCAGTCACTCCATCAGCAGTAGAAACATGAAATAACCTTGGCCACGCTTTGTTATTCTTGTCCACCTTCCTTACTTTCCTTTGAAGTTTATTTTTCTTTTCATCACCTTTTTCTCAGTCTTCACCCATCCTACAAAAACAGCTACTTGTGTACTTCTTTATAGTGCCATTCAAAAGCATTGATGCTCAATGAACAGTTCACAATTAGTCACAATAAAATGAGAAACTTTAATGTGTTCTGTCAACAAATTCTCCCACATAAGCTGTGGAATATAATAGTCCCTTCAGAGTTACTATGGATCTCCTGAATTTGCTCTTTTCAGGTTTGAGTCAAACACTTTTCCATTTCCTAGTTATGATTTCACATTAATGTTCTCTAACAAACCTCTTGTTCACAGAGCAACTGGATTTACATTGAGATTAAATCACACTCCATTTAGTAATTGGGCAATTTGTGCAGGCAATTAGTTGCATTAAATTTTATTTGGGATTTTCAGGGTAAAGAGGTTTGAAGACAAATTAATTCTGTGCATTTTTACATTTTTTTATTTAAAATTATATATTGTTTTCCTTTTCATGTTTACTTGAAGGTTTAAGACCGTGCTTAAGACAAAATGTCATTAAAGTCTATTAAAGTTTCTTGTTGTGACGTGACAAAGTGTGAAGTTCAATAAGCACTTTTCTCAGGCTCTGAATGTATTACCTTCTGCTGCTGCAGTCTGCTTATTAATGGATCTTTGCATGTCACGCGGTCGATAAACGGCAGCACTTATCACTTACAGAAATAATTGCATAACGCTAACATGACAAAGTGCTCGCCTCCCAGGAATCCTGTTTGTATTATAAATGCGAGCGAGGCCTAACCGAATTAATCTAATCAGAAGATAATTACAGTGGCTGTAGCAAAGCTGGACTGATTCATCAAACTGCTTCTCTCACCCCCCGAGCTATTAAAGCAGGAGATTACAAACCTGAGTTAAAGGCATCCACGGCTTTCAAAGCTGACCGCGCCAAAGCTGTCAGGATGCATCTGACAGAGCTCAGACTCTGACTGACAACAATTGAGAAAACAACGGGTCAAGTGTGGAGCTGCTGTGAGACGGGAGCCGAGACGGTGCAAGGCCTCCGGATCCAAATCCCTGTAGGGGCGAAAGCTTATCCTGTCAACAAATAATGTGATGTCAGTTTAACCTTGAGTAGAACAAACAAACAAACAAACACAAAAATGCTGACAGCCACTGCTTTCTGTTTCGTTGTGGGTAGGGAAAGATCTGGTCAACAGATTCTCGTTCTACACTATTCGCTTCGTACAGAGGGTCTTGGCTCTGTTGAGAAACAATCGCTTCCTGGAGGTGTTGAAGTTTTAAATTTGGCCCGATGGCTAACGTTTACCCATGGTGTATGTAATGTGCCAGTTTGACGGCAAGAAACTTGGCCATCCTCCTCTGTGAAGAGAGAAGTGCCGATCCGAACAAGGAGGTAGTTAATGTTAATTCAATATTTGGAAACATGGCTAACATGGACTGAACGGCTTTGTTCACTTTGTTAACTTTTCGGCAAGATAAAAGAACTTAAGTAAATAATATTGATGAAAAAACACTAGTTCCACTGGCAGATTATTTCACTCATAAAAAGACATTTTTCCCATGTTATAAATGAAATATTACGGATTACTGACTTAATACAAACTCCTATATCTTGCTGAAAAGTCACTTGCAATGTTGATTTTGTCTTAATTCAAGTGTGCTAAGATATTTAGTCTAGAAATTATACCAGAAATACTTAAGATAGTATTTCTGTTGTAAGATTTTGTGCTTTTACAATGTAGGGGAAGAGGGCGTACCCTCCTACAGCGGCGCTGTATCCTGACATAATTTCAGATTAGACAAACTACTGCGACAAAAAGCGAACCAGGGGACACCCTCCTTTTGGTAAACACCCCCTTCCTCTTCGTCTTCATCCCCACCACCCCGCCTATTTTCTTCTTTCCCCTCGGGTTCAGGCGTACACTTATTCCCCTCCTTCAGATTTATGGCTCTGGCATATAGGTGCACTTGACAGCTATCAGATTGGCATTGCAGAGGAGGGAGATCCCAAAGTGAGATGGGGTTAGCTGGGTATATCTATCAGGGCTCTGTCCAGGAGGAGGAAGAGGATGAAGAAGAGTGCGTGTATGCATGTGTGTGTGAGTGAGTGAGTGAGGGGGGGGGAGAAGAAGCCAGGGGGAGAGCAGAAGAAGAGGGGAGAGGAGAGAGAGGGAGAGAGAGGGGCTCGGTGGGGCCCCGCTGAGCACATAAGCTTCCATGCTGAGCACAGCTCTGGCTAGCTGACAGTTGTGCTCAGCCTTCACTGTAATAATGAATAAAAGGAAACTCCCTGCAGATTACACATCTTCCGTGTTTTGACATTGACCTTAATACATAATTTAACCACAAAGCCTGAAGAGTGTGTAACGAGATAAGAGAGGACCAGAGGATAGGAAAAAAAAAAAAACACACAGATGCAGGGGCCTAAAACATACAGGCCAAAACAACAAAAACACCTCTTCTGTTATGGCTTTAATATAACCCAACCTGCAAGGACTAGTGGAGTCTTTACTAAATAGAAGGAGGAAAATTGAGGAAATATCTTTGTGCCAGAAAATCTGCTAAATGGGTGGCAGCAGAAGAGGAAAATTACACGTTTGTGTGTTTGAAAATGCCGTGACTTTTCCAGCTTATCGAATTCCCAATGGGAGGAGTAGGTGGTGCTGTTAAACCTCAATAGAATAGTAATGTGCCATCCGGCGTGGATATGTGTGTGTGTGTGTGTGTCAGTCAGCCCCTGTTTGTATGCCTCCCATACAGTGTGTGCAGCTCTGCACCGACTGAGTGTGATATCTGAAAGGGGCATTTGTCTCTGTCAGTGTCACTTCACAGTGTGTGTGTGTGTGTGTGTGTGGCTTTTTTTTTTTTCAAGGCGTTTGAGCATCATGATGCCTTGAGTGACTGTTTACAGCAGTATTTGCTGAGCCAGCACTCTCTCCTCCCAGGGTTATGTCACTCCAGCTGGGGTCACCGTGTCATCCAGACTGCCAAGAAGTGTGATGTTTAGCCAGATTCCCCAGGGAGGAAAGTACCAGACTCAGACAAGTTCCAGGCAAATATCTCAAATGTAAGCTTAAGAAACGCTGAAAATAATCTTTTAACTAAAGTATTTGGATTCTATTTTGCTATAATGTGATTTTATTTGTATCTTTGTATCACATTACAACCGTAAAGTTCAATGGAACAGTTTTAAACCGTTTTTATTAAAAGTGGATGCATTTTTAGTCATTTTGCTGTAAAATTCCCTTCAGAAGTCACCAAATCAGTTAGCATAGTCCACCTGGGTGTAATCTGATTAAAGTATATTCGTCGACAAAGATAATGAGGTCAGGGATAAATTTATGGACTAACTTTAGGTTAAATAGAGGTTATTAAAAATAATACTTAAAACTTTAGAAATCTTGAATTAGAATTGGAAAGATTACCGCTGTAGGCTGTCTATGAGCAGTAATTGGAGAAGCTCAACGTAACTCTAGTGGAACAATCCATTAGCACCAGTTGGCATTAACTAGTGCTAACT